AACATCTGAACTCACTCTGCCCGTCACAGCTGCATGGCCTGGCTGGGGGCCATTCACAGCCAGGGGGCCCCAGCCACCCCCTCTGCCTCCAGCTAATGAAACCAGCATGGGGATCCTAATGACTGATCAAAGCCCATCCAGCTTCCCCAGGATGTCTGCTCCCCTGGCCCTGCCCAGAGTGGGAATGGTGCTCTGATAGGGTGGGAAAGAAGGTACTGGGGGGTGGGGTCATGGTGGGGGGTGGTCAAGAGAGGCGGGTCTAGCCTGGTCCGGGCCCAGCCTTAGCCTTCCTCTTGTAGGAGAGGTGAGACTACAACACTTTGACCCCAGATCTCCAATTTTCTGGGTCCTGAGCACCAGTCTCCTTATTCTAGGGGCTCAGGAGGATGGAGGGGGGACAGAGGGACACAGCTTTTGCCAAAGGATCCCAAGCAAATTCTTGACTTCCTTCTCAAGTGAGCTTCCCATACTGGTCCTGAACCAAGAGTTCCGACTTTGCCTGCCTTGCGGCCCTCTGGTCATGAATAAGGTTGCATCTTGGGTGAGTGACCAAAACGCACCCATCATCAAGTCAGCCACCTTCCATGCCAATTTGTTCCTAAAGTGGTAACTGGGTGCCCATACTCACAGGAGAGCTGCGCCTGGTGGGACCGACTAGGGCCTGCCAGGATGTCTGCTTTCTGGTCAAATGCTCACGCAGCCCGACACGCCGGGGACATGCAGACAGAGGAATACTAAAGATTGAATACATACACAAATAGACCAGATAAAATATTTGTCTTGCCTATAAGCCAAGGGCAAAGATATTTGTGGAACGGGAGGTATGTGTCTGTGTTTGAGGAGGAGTGGGGGGAGGTTGCTGATAGCAGGAGCTGGTGTGTGTGGGTAATAAGGTGAGGGAGCGGAAGCTCCTGCTTTCACTACTAGATCCCACTTCTTTCCTGAAATTGTCGGTGGGACTGCAGAGGGGAGAACTTGGCGTGGTCATGACGTTGCGTCTGGAGTGTTACAGGAAGTGGGAGAACTTGAATGACCTTCAGAGGTGAAGATGGAATACACGAAGGAAGGGTGTCCGCTCAGAAGGAGTGAGGGGGTGGCTGTGTCACCTCGAAAATTCTGGGAGGGGAGAGTAGCAGAGAACAGAGCTTTTAGAGTCCCATTTAGATGGGGGGGGCGAGGAGGTGGGGCAGTGGGAGGAGGGGGCCGGGAAAGTCCAGCTGACAGATGGCCAGGCTGCTGCCAGAATGCAGAAGAGGGAAAGGAGTGATACAGGAATCAACCGCATATAGTGAACGGGATGGGGAGTGGAGACCACACACCTAGCTCATATCCAGGTCTCCCTGGAGACAATGTTTTCATTAAACAGTCATTGTAGAAATCCAGAGTCCCCAGGGACCTGGCCCCACCTCTGGGGCAGAAAGTGAGGATGGGGGACCCAGCTCCCCTGCACGGGAATCGAGGAACTGCGGCTAGACAGTAGAGGGCGCTGTGACTCCAACAGAAGTTAGCCAGAAGCCACCAGAAGGAGGAAGCAGGCCACGGAAGGGTTCCAGTGGGTTGTTGGGTTTGCACTTTCTAAGTTTATGGTCTGCCTTTAGTGCACAATGAACGCAGAGCGACATCCTCACAAGTAATCACGGGTTTCCGCAGGATGGACTGAAACAGAACTGCGCGGCCGGGGGCTGCGTGGCCATCATACCACTCGGCTTGTGCGCAGATAGCACGGGCCCAGAACCATTAATGCTTCTCTCCTGAAACAGGAAGAAAAAAAAGCCTCCCTCATTTTTAATAACTTTATTCCCCAAACTTCAAAAATGAAATTGCCAAGTTAAGAACTTGCTTTGGAAAAAAAAAATTCTAATTTATTATAAAGAAGGTCCGGGGCTTGGGAATTTTTTTTTAATGCAGATTCCTAATTTTCCAAAGTGAGATTCTCCTGTGCATTTGAATAGATTATGCTCGGTATTGCTAGCCCTTAGCACAACGGGAACATTATTAAAACGATTGCACGGGTCTCAGAGGAAGGGCTCTGCATCTCGCTTCCTTTTTCATTTTGGGGACTTCGTATCAGAGACTGTCCATTTTTGCCTGTGGAAGAAACTGGGTTTTCCAAGGAGGTGATATAGAGATGTGCTCAGCTGTCCAGGCCTTGAGGAAACAAGACCTAAAGGAATAGGAGGAAGCGGGGGATCCTTTCCAGAGGGCCCTGTATAGGAAGCGACTCCCCTGGGTGCTGACCCATGTTCCTATTAGGCCTGGCTTTCCTGAGGACACTGAGTGTTAGAGAGCAGCTGGTTCTCTAGGATAATGAGCATGATGAGGGCAATGGAGCAGGGCTTCCCCTGAGAAGCTCAGCCTCTTGAAAGCATAAAGGGAAGAAGGCAGGAGGACGCAAGCAAGTTCCCCAGAAGACGCACACAGAAGACATTCCTACGTGGGAGCCAGTCCACCTCAAAGTCTAGCTCTCTCTGGAGAGAATGGCCTTTCCCTATGAGTCAGAGGTCTTTGTTCTGGAGATCTCACTCACCTCCTCCATCCTGCTCATTCCATCTCTGCCCTAACCCCCCATCCTGATCAGTTTCTTTGGGACCCGGGTTGGCCCAGGGAAGGCCCATGGCAATCTAGCCATAGCCTCCTGACCTAGCCAAGGCCACAAGAACCCCAGACTTTGGCTTGGTCACTTTACCGTGGACACTGACTTCCTGCCAGACCCTCGGGTTACAAATAGATGTGTGGTTTCCGCGGGGCAAAGTACTCCTTGATGTTTTAAGTGTACTTTCCCTGGTGAAGTATGGTGGCTCCTCGGAGAGGGGGGCCTTGGGACAGTCCCTGCCCAGGGCTTCTACTCCGAGGTCCTCGATGGGGACCTTGAGCCTCCCTTCGTCTCCCAGAAGGCTCGAGCAGCTCAGTGGTGGCTTCCGGGGGGGGGGGGGGGGGCTGAGTGTCCGAGGGCTGTGGCCACACCTCCATCCCCTCCCTCAGCAGCTGGGATGTATTAGTTCCCAGCTGTATGCTGAGAATTAAATTAGGCTCCTGTACTTAACTACACCCGGCTCAGCATTCTTGGACAACAGAGGCCTTGCTGCAGCCCTCCCGCTAATCCCCACCAAACCGAGACTTCTCCCAGCTGCCCCGGCAGGCAAAACAAGGCTTGGGGTGGGCGGGCAGACGGCAGCAGCCACCAGCTGTGCCAGGCCAATGCTCTCTGGCCTTTTGGCCCTGCCCTCGTCTGTCCTTGAGCCTTGGGTACCAGGCCTTTGCACTCACCACCTGCTAAGTACGGGAAGTGACCCCATGTCAGGTCCCCACTTCTGTTGAGCTAGGAGAGCAGGACCCAGCTACAAGAGAAACGGAACCGGCGTGCCTGCCTCTTTATTGGTACCCCCGGGGTCCCTAACACTGCCCGAGCAGACAAGAGGATGAAGTCTGTATCTACTGAAGGAGGAAGCTCGTACCCCGTTGCTGCCCCAAGAGTCCTAGGTCTCCACAGTCTGGGCCTCCTGCACCGCAGGGAAAGGTCCTGATGTAGGGTCGCACCCCCAAAAGCTTTCGCATTGAGGAGCCATGTAAATGCTGCAGTCACTCGTGGAAAGCTACTGACGGGGCAGAGGGTTTGCCGCATAGGAGGCTGGCTGCGGAGAGCCCACAAGGAGCACAGAGTGGACATGCTGGGGCCGGTGTGGGGACAAAAGGACGTGCGCTTGAAGGTTGGGGGAGTGCTTTTGAGTTTTCAGGGGGAGAGGAGTCAGTGGTGGTCCACATGCCAGGCATTCGGTAAAGTGGGGATTTCTGGGGGTGGTGTTGTGGGGGAAAGGGATGGATGGAATGGCCACTACATGCTCACACCGGGCTGGGCTGTCAGGATCCCAGGACCTAACGTGAGCAAAAGAGCCTGCCCGCCCTGCGTCTGCACATTCATACCCCCCTCACAGCATAGACCCTCCACGTGCTCCCTGAGAACGGCTGAGTGTGAACCGCTACGGAGAAGGGAGGCCTGGCAGGGACGGCTGCAGGTCCCCGGCCCCACGGCAGGCCCTCACTGCACGTTTGCTGAGTGAATGAATGTCCTAGCTGGCTGCAGTGCACATTCTAGATACTCTGTCAACCCTGATAATACAGGCTTGAGAGATCGGGGTAGAGAAAATAGGAGAGGGTGATGGAAAGCGTCGGAGAATGCAGGCTTCTGGGACAGCACAGCCACATAGCTAACTCAGAGTCTCCAGAGAACCGGGTGTGGAGAAAGGTGCACATTGGGTGGGTGGGGAGGCACGGGTCCCAAGTGAAGGGTCTGAAAGACTGGGGGAGCCCAACCCACAAAAGCAGGCCTCTAAAAGGAGGAGAGAAGACAGCAGGAAGATGGGGCACAGATGCCACCTTCTCCAGAGGTGCAGCCAGGATGGAGTCTCTGGAGAACTCGGGGAGGGCAGTGCTGTGTCCGAGCTGAGGGATGGAAACTGGGAACCAGGCGTTGCGGGGAGAAGTGTTGGACGACCTACAGATACCATCCTGGCCTTTTTCTAGCAGGAAGCCAATAGGATCCTGAGCAGAAGGGCGATTCCAGGAACAGGCAGGTAGGGAAGGACAGGACAGAGGGGCTCCTGTGACCAGTGAGTGGGGGCATCTGGTGCAAAGGAACCTCTCATTAAGAAGTTTCCCCAGATACTCAAAAGCAGACTCGATTTACCTGCACCTGGATCTCCCTGAGGGAGGGGCTGGGTGCATTGGTCAGACACCTGCTCTGAGGGGGAAGCAGGGCAGGGGTGGGGACAGGACTGGGACTGGGGGCTCCAGACCATGGTCCCAGAAGTTGGTGACAGATAAGCTCAAGTAGGATCTGAACCGGGTTTTACAAATGCAGCAATCCCTCCAGGGGTCTGTGTGGGGCAGCCCTCCAGAGGTTGGGGGGGAGCCCAGGGTACAGCAGAGGCAGGCCTGGCTCTGTCCGGCCCCCAGGGAAGGCCGCCGCGCCCCCTTCCCGTCACCTGGTCAGTCACACTCACCTGCGGGCTGTCCTGGTAGGGTGGGGGAGGGACATTCTGCGTGGCCATCATCGTCAGAGCGGGGGCTGGGGAGGCATGTTGCATCATGGGGTTGATTCACATCGAGGATCTGTGGCAGGAGAAAGGGGGCCGCACCGTTAATAGGCTGTGCGCAGGGGGCCCTGGGGACATTTCTCAGGCTGGGCCACCTAGACTGACGGGACACAGCAAGAGCTGGAGGCCCTTCAGGGGAGCAAATGAGAGCTAAGGGGGGGGGGGCCCGGGTGGGGAGGGGCTGGCCGAGCTATTTTGACTTGAAAGAAACGATATTCAAATCACATGTGAAACAACCTGTCCACCCACAGCCATGGTTTGTTCAGCATCACCAGGGGCCTGGTCTGGGTCGGGGGAAGGGGTAGGGGGCTCGGCCCGTGGCAGCTCAGGGCATTGGTGGCATTCGGGGATCCCACAAGACAGAAGAGTGCTGGTCCCTTCCCAGGCTTCTGGAATGGGCACCTGCGCTCTGGGAGGGGGGGGCCCAAGGACACCCCCCCCCCCGCAGGAGGCATCAGGCCCTTCCACTTCCAAGGCCCAGCCCCCTGCACTGGGGTCTTGGGGGGGGGGGCGCAGACCAACCCCTCCCAGGTGTGCTCGCCACACCCCCTAGTGGCAGGTGGGGTGCCCCGGGCTGAGGGGTGGAGTTGGCACCTGGGCACCTGGGGGGACCAATGGGTCTTCAGGGAACCTCCAGGCTGGGGTGAGCCTCCTGTCACTTGGAGAGTTTTTCTAGGTGTGTGCTGGAGACTCTGGGCATAGGGATGTAAGTCAGCCTCCTTAGCCTTCGTTCAGTACAGAGGCACAGGCACCTGGGGCCAGAAGGGCAGAGCCAAGTCCACCCCCTCCTATGGAGGTGATGAGGCCAAGAGGAAGGATGTGTGCAGGGTGGAGGTGGGGATGGGGGATGCTGCTAGTAAAGCCGGGGTCAGTCCCCGGTGTCCTCCACTGTGCTGCCCCCTGACCCATCACCCGTAAGCCAGCTGCCCCTCCTGAGCCTCAAGCTTTCTTCTTGACCTGGAACGTGGTGCTGTAAGTGGAGACCGCTGGCAATACCCCCCAAGGAAACACAACGCCCAGAATGCTGTTGAGCTACACTAGATGCCCTGAAATATTTAGAGCTGGAAACCACGGGCTAGCTGCCTGACCCAGGGCTGTACGTTGTGGGGCCTGGACACTCTTAAGAACCTCAGTGGGGCTAGGGACCTGGGTGGAGGGTGCTGACGAGCTAGGTGTGCGCACAGACTCAGGCCCTCCCTCCCCTCTCCCTGAGGGCCGGTGGGGCTCCACCCGATCCCCCATGCCCTCCCACCCCTTTCCTAGGGTCTTCTGAAATGTTCTCCTGCAGGAATTCTGTGGTAATCTCCGGGTGTTTGGAGCTGCCCAAGGGAAGGGGCTGGTCTCCAGAGCCCTGAGGGGTGTGTGTGTATGTGTGTGTGAGAGAGAGAAAGAGAGAGAGAGAGAGGGAGGGAATGCGGGTGTTGTTTGGTTATTTTTCCGGAAGAAGAGGAAGTAGAAAGCCTGGCCTGACCTCTGTCTCTGAGGCACGACTATGTTCTGACCTTCACTGCCCAAGCAAAGACACGGGACATGTAGGTGTCCATTCAAGGACTATTTATTGGGTGTCAACTACATGCAAAGAACTGAGCTAGGAGGTGGGAAAGGGTACACGAAGGAGGCAAGATCTTCTTTCCAAGGAGTGTTATCAGTCGGGAAGGTGATGGCCCGGCAGGCAAGAAGAAAGCGAAATGAAGGTTCCAGAAGGGACCGGGTAGGGAGAGAGGGCTTTTGCTGTGACTGCAGGGCATTCCCCTTGGCCTCACTCCTACCTACACCTCGCCTACCCCGGCCTTACTTCAGAGGAGGGGCTACCGGGATGTGTTGGCAACAGAAACACTCAGGGTGTCCCCACCTCACGCACACCTGAGGCACCCAGGTCCATGCTTTCTTTCTGCAGAGTGTCGGGAGGGAGCCCTTGGGGGAGCTGGTCACTTCAGGCGGGAGAACCAATGCCTGTTTTCGTGGCTGGGTGTTTGGGTGGCGGTAAACATCCAAGGAAGGGTGGAAAGGGTTCCCGAGGACAAAAGAGCATAGAGGCTCCTTGAGATGTCGGAAGAAACTTCGAGAATTAAGACGTTTGAGATACTAAAATGGGTGCGGAGTCTCTTTTGGACCTTGGGCGGGGGTGCGGGGGGAGGGAAGGAAATCGGGCTATTTCAGGGGTGTGTTAGGCTCAGGCTTTCCTGGGACTGCAGCAGATGAGGTGACGCTGGTTGGGGCCTCAGGACCAGCCCTGGGACCTGTTCCTTGGAGCTCCAGGCTTGGATGCTCCTTGGCCGGGAGAGCGGCTGCGGGGCTGCAGTGCCAGCGGCGTCCAGCAGAGGGCCTGGAGGGCCTTCTCTCCCCTCCTGGGGCCACCCGGTTCCCCTTAACCTCTGCGCTGGGCCTGGGGGTAACCCCATCCCACGGGTGAGAAAGGCAGAGCAGAGGACGCCCTCGGAGGAGGGCCGGGGCTACCAGATTGGGGCATTCTTTTGTTGGCTGTCCAAGGAATGGGAGGTGGGGTCACTTTAGAGTTGCTGTCCCTAGAAATACTTGCGATGGCAGGAGGGCTATGTGGTCTGGAGGCAAGGAGAGGCACTTTGCAGCCAGAAGCAAACACCCACCCGCCTGGGCTAAGAGGAGATTTTTTTGTCTCTGGCCTGTCGGGCTCTAGCAGGGGTCAGACCCGCCTCGCCAGAAGACACAAGAACAATTTTCTGAGGACCCAGATGGCCTTTGCCCCTCCCGTCCCCCTCTCTGGGGTCACCGCAGGCCACTAGGCCACTAACCCATTGCCCTCTGGGGGCTTCTCCTGCCGGAGAACAGGAGGACTTTTCATCGTTGGTTCTCTGCTCACTCAGGCACAGAAGGTTCTGGTGGGGAGACGCCGGGGGAGACCCCACACCCATCTCTGGAAGCTTGCTCTTCGCTTCACACCACTCCGCAGGCCCAGGCACCCCCGTCCTTGGGAACACCCCCCCCCCAGCTGGCTGGCCTGGGGGCCCGTGGAACCACCCTGGAGAGGAAGGCGGGGATCCAGCTTCTCTTGTCTGAAACTGGGCCCAGTGAGACTCCAGAGCTGCGTGGGGGGAGCTCCCTGCGCAATCACGGGGTGCCTGGGCCTCTTTGGGAGTGCGGAGGGGAGGAGCAGGCCTGGGCTCTGGAAACCCAGCCCGGGGCTTCCAGCATGTGTCAGCCGCTCCTGTGCGGAGGCCCCAGGGCTGTTACCAGACACCAGGGCACTCAAGGGGGCACGGCCAAGAGACTGCGGATGGAGGACACACGAGGAATGATTTACCGCAGGGAAACCTTCCCAGGGAACAGAGGCTCAGGTCAAAAGGTTGTTCTTAATGCTGAAAACCTTTACTATATGACAGCTAGGAGCGGGGGTGGGGTGGGGGTGGGGGGGGACCCTAAGGCAACATTCAACCCGACAATGATACCCAAGAAGTAATCTGTGTCACTGATATTATCAAAAGGAGTCCAGGCTGCCATTTCACAGAGCTCAGGACCCAGGAAGGCCGTGTTGCATGGACTGGGGGTGGGTGAGGGGGCGTAAAAAGACACCCCGTTTTAGGAAGTAGGAATGGGCAGCCCAAGAGCACCGCCTCCCTCTCTCCTCAACTCTTGTGCCCCTCAGCCCTGCAAGGTGAGGCCCTGGGTCTGTAGCCCAAACTCCAGTGTGTTGACAAACAGGCTTAGAAAAAAAAAAATAGCAAGCTCGTTAGGAAGGAGCTCATTAGGACTTGTTGACATGAAACCCATTAGACCAATTAACATTACATTAACGGCCTGGGGCACCAAAGGGTTAATGCTGCCCGGCAGTAATTGGGCTGGGGTGCTGGGGTTGGGGGCTCAGGGCCTCCAGGATGAGAAACAAAGTCTAATTGGGAACTCTCTGGCCAGCTGGCCCGACAGCATTTGTTCTTGCCCTCTGACCCTAGCTGAGACTACACCGCATCCGGCACCCACTTTGGGAGGGGGGGACGGGACCAGCTCTCCTTTGGCCCTTCACAGCCGCGCCTCAGTGCCCCAGACAGGAGACTGGGGGGATGGCGGGCACAGGCCAAGGCGTGGATGGCTTTTCCACCCTGTTGGACTCTGAGAGTCCTGTTTTCTTCATCCATCCCTGCCCCCACCCCCTTCTGCTCCAGTGTCTCTCTTAGGGCCCAGGCTGGAAAGTCTCCTGGACTCTCCCAGTTATAGGTGTGCCATCGAAGCTTCCAAAAGCTCTTTGGAGAAGTGAGGATCCTGGAGGCCCCAGAACCTGATTCGGCTAAGGAGTGTTGTAGTTTAGGCACAGGGGTGAGGAGAGGGAGCACTGGGTCTTCCTTCCTTCCTCCCTTCCCCAGAAAAAGCTATGACACACTGTGGAGGGCCCCCTAGAAGCCCTTGTCTCCCGTCCTCTGACCCCCACCAGCAGTATTTTCATGATTTTCCTCCCCCGGCTACACGTAGAGGCTGTGGAAGTCCCATCCCCTGCCTGGGCCTCAATTGAAGCCTTGTGCTAAGGGTCGAAAAGTCTGGATTCCTCATCTAGCCCTGCCACTTCTCGGTGGCAGGGACAAGCCACGTTCCCCTCCTGGACGGCCACCACGAGGGATTTCACCGGAATATTCTGCGGGTCTTTGCCCAGGGTTAGCCCTCCACGTGAGCTTCGTCGAATGGAATGGAAATAGTTGGACTGGAGCTTCATTTCAAAGGCCAGCCAGCTGGCGGGTCTTCTCTTCCTCACTTCCCATTTGGGAGTAAGGGAGGGAGGCCAGAGAGCCAGGAGCCCTCCCCAGCGCACCCAGGTGGTTGGTTACCAACCCACCCCCCAACCCCAGGCTGGGGGGGCCTCCCAGCAGCTGCCCAGGCCTGGGTTCTGACGTCTAGACAGGTTTGTAGGAGGCTGAAATAACAGAGTGAACTCAGCAGGAAGGGCCAGAAGGCTGCGTTAGTAACCTGGCTGGCTGCAGCTTCTCCCCCAGGAGCCGCCGCCTCGCCCAGGGCACAATCCGGTCTATTTTCCTTTCAGCCTAGAGCCTCCTC